TGTGAATTCTAACAGTGCTTCTTGTAGTCCTGGACCCAATCAAGGACAGTGTGTGATCTGTATACAAGGCAATGTTTAAACACAGGGACCAGGTAGTACACTGGCTACAGTAATTAGTTTACTGGACGGCACTTTGTGATCACAAATCATTTAGTTAATAGATCCAACTGCAAAAAACAATTTGATATTAACGTGCAAAGCATTGATATCGAGATGATGGCCGAGTAGTTACACGGAAAACAAATTTATAGTAGCATCGTTCACGCTCTACCAAGTCAAAGTTATTCTGCTTCAGGTATCAAATATTTTATTTCAATTGTGTGTTTTTTTTTAAATTTTTTTACACACAAATATAAATTTTGCCTGAAAAGTAGAAAGACGCATGAAGGGATCAACACACATTAAGTGTCGCTCATCACAGTTCTCTTGTTTGTTTTAATCCACTTATAACAAAGCATGACGAAAGCGTTAGCTCATTTCGGTGTTACATTTTACAAAATTTTCCTTCATCTTCCTGTAGAGTTCAGAGCATAATCTACAATTACCTGAAGTACAGTTTTAGTGAAGTGTAATTAAACTCTTTAATTAATGATGAACTTTAGAGGACTATCCTATGACGTTAAATAAGAAAGCGTAGCGTAATAATAATAGCAATAATATGAATATGATAATAATCACTAAAAGTATGGCATAGAAAAGAATTGACTAAGCCACCGCTTTGCAGACGCCGAAATGGCGTGTTTAACACGTGGATAGGGTCTACTCAGAAGTTATTGAAGCCTTACGAATCCATTCCCCTGGTCAATTCCATGGCCTCCAGTACCTTTAAACATCATTGTACTAGAGTAGCTCCGTATGAATATCAGTTTCGTCATGTTTTGCAAACAGGTTACAGCGCCATCTCCAGTGCGACTGTGGGACTGTAGCAGGAACGTGAACTGAAATCGAATGCAAAGGACTTCCGATGTTCGGTGTGGGGAAGGGAATCTGGCGCCACATAAATAAAATCTCTTAGAACGAAAAGCCCATTTCCAAAAGCAAGTATCTTTTTTGTCTACTGCGAGTAGACTGACGAATATAATCATGAAATATTTTGTGAAAATTACTTTTTAATTTCTCAAAGCATATTCACATTTCATTGAATAATGAAGTATGGATTTTATTAGTCAAAATTTAGTAAGACAGGTCTCTCAAACTTTTCGGAAAGATCTTAAAATTTACTTTTATTTTCAAAGAAATCCTCCGCGAACATCTTCACATTCAAAGCCACAAGAGGTTAAACATTCTTTCGTCCAATGTGAACTTCAGTTAACTCAAACATAAAATATGATATTTATGTAGATACGCACTTTCGTAAAACGGCAATAATACACTGCATGTTTATCAGCGTAAATTATTCACCAAGTCATATTTATTTCTTGCGGGAGAACTAATACAGCAATGTGGGTAATTTATCTAAAAATAATCTACAGTCACAAAACTGAAGTAAATAGGAAAGGGAAGTATCTAAGGATTGCAATATTACTATGAAAGCATCATTAAATTATTTGAAGAAAGTCTGTACCAGTAATGTGTATTTGCGTTACAGAAGTTAAATGGCATATCTGGCAACTGAAACAAGTTTTTCCTTCTTTAATGTTCTTTGTGTACAGTGCGGCATTGCTGCGAAATATCGACACCCGAGCTGAAATAAACTAGACTCCTTCGACAGTAGAAATCGGCGCACTTCCGTCGATTTAAGAATCGCTTATTCGATATCGATATTGCCTTGTTCATGGCTGAAGTATTGGTTTCAATGGGAATTACTGAATTTCTCTGACAGATGGGAAAAGAAACGAAATCAAGCGTGATTAATGAGGATTAGTTTGCCTCGCGCGATTTATAGGAAGGATCCTGGACATATCGGCTCACTCGCTCCAAATCTCTGTTCTCACCACTGAAGCTCACAGCTAATTCCTTGATGAGGCATTTGTTACATTTGTCGCTGAGTCGGTTCCCTATATATGTTAACTCTTCACTAGACCCTATTTCGTACGTGTAAGGGAAACAAATGGATGTCCATTTATACCGTATAGGCGGTGTAAGGGAAACAAATGGATGTCCATTATACCGTATAGACCTACAGACAATTTAAAAGTGTAGATTCAAAATTCGGTTAGTCTACTTTTTCCCGAGAAGCAGACAGAATGTCTAAGCTTCCTATCACTTGTATGATAGCCTGTGTAATTTCGTCTTAGATGTTTTTGTTCCATATCGTTTGCATATTTGTATGTTCAGAAACCAGCGTTGTTGACAGTATTTCGAATTAAGTCATGCCTTGTCGGTTCCATAACTAAAAATCATCAATCCAGCTATTATATAACGTTTTATTCTTGTTCTAATACACAGCGATATGAAATTGGGATTACTTCTGGGTGAGGAAACCTCATAAAAACTGCTTTCAACCTTATGTATTAAAAGATTAATTACTTTGAAACAAGTCTGCGCTGGAGAACACAAACTCTTACGCCATATTGCTAATTTATCTTCAAATTGAGCAGACGAATATATATTTTAGCTACAGATTTCTTTGATCATTCAACTTTATAAGTGTAGACGCAACGTGTATTATGCATACAGATCTTTTCGTTGAAATGAAATGATATTTAGTGTGTAATAAAGCTTTATCATACGTAATAAACACGAATGTGCATCAATCACCCAAGTTTTCCACTAACACAAGTCAGTTGTAATTGCATAGACGCGAATGGCTCACAGGGTTTCTAACAGGTTGAATTGAAGGCCATACGGCTGCAATATGATGAATGAGGTTATGACCATTAAATGGGTATATACTAACTGGATTGACAGCGTTCTGACCGACACGCAGAAATGTTAAAAGATAAATAATGTAACGTCAGCTATAAAAACACAAACATTCTGACAGCCATAACTTCATAAATCAGACGATCCCATTTTGTAAGGGAATTAGAAGAAATAGTGAAATAAACTGCTGTCACACATTCCAACTTCATCACTGGAAATGAAGGATCTGCAGAAATGTTATAATAACATTTATAATTCCATGCGAGACACGCACTAGGTTATTTAGCCTGTCGATTTTTGCATGCTTTTAGTACTTGCACGTTCTCGAAGAAGCGAACACGTTTCAATGTATGCGAGGTTTATGTTTTGGTAGAAATATTTTATCCCTGATATGTTTAATATTTATGTAACGTAAAGTTATTTGTGTTATAACTCGTTGATTTTAAAATGGCAACACACGAAAATCCGTGTAATCTGTTTGCCATGTACGCATGTTGTGTGACTTTACGACAGTTTTTAATATCATTTATTTTGTGCTGTTCAAAGCAAATTTATGCGAGCATTTTATACACGAAATCGATGTAGGTCTACGTGTAGTATGCATCTGGAAAAATTTAAATTCTGCAAAAGAATTATTTAAATTCGAATCCGCCGTTTGAAATTAATTTACTTACTGGAAGTGTAGTTGGTAATTTTTTGTGGATGCGTACACCAATTTGTAAAATTTCTCTTTAAACATTTTCAGCGCATGTGGTGTTGCAAAAATAAGCACCTCGAACTTAGCACTTCGCAGATTGAGGTACGTTGTTTCATTTGATGGTAATAATAATCTCTGTGTAGAGTAAGCAAGTACCTGGTCCTCAAAGCTGGGGGTTGCTCGGTAGGGTTTATAGCCCACAAGCAGCCCAGGGGACTAGTACGAATCTATCTGAGACGGAATATGCCATATGTAGCCTACTTTGAAGATAATGATGAAATACCGCGAAGAAGTTAGAGCTAGAATCGGTTTTAATAGGGTAGGCGTAGTTGGACTGCCAGTCTCAACTACAGGGTCTGTGAGTCAGCGCTTCGCACGAAGTGTAAATTAAGTAATAGCAAAATTAGAGGGCTCTTGTCGAGTGCATGTATGTAATTCGCATCTGTCACATGGCGCGATTTTCAAGTGCATACATCCTGCGGCGAAGACGATGTGACCCAGCTTCCTGCGTTAGACCTGGGCCGATAGAATGTGTCCACTTATCCTGAAGGTAGTTGGACAGTATATCGGCCTAATACGGGTTCACAGGATTGTCGTATTCTGTACTCGTTTTCTGGGATAAGCATCGGTGACCGACAACGAGGAGTTTGGTTCATGATAATTTGTCACACCGACGGACAAGAGCTGAAGGTGTGCGACTGTCCGGACACTTGTATAATTCGGTATCTTTGTCTCACAACACCTCCTTGAAGAAGGGTCATCCCGTCCGAAGACTTCTGCTTGCACAGAACAGTGCACCACAGAACGCCGAGGACAAACGTCCACGCCTCATAATCTGTGGTCTTTGACAAATACTATTACTATTAGGGCTATCAGATTACAGAGGATGAAGTCAGCAGCGCCACCAATGGGGAGAAGGGCGACAGACAAGGCATCTTCCTTCCGATAATTTTAAATAGGAAATGCATAACATATTATAAATAATATTTTATATATATATTTATTTATTAGTTTTTGCCGGTAATGGGTTCTTTGCTATTGGTAAACACTGTTATAGAAGAAAATAACTGGACTGGATTAATACAATTATTATGATTATCCTTATAATCTTACTACGTTCTTACTTATTTCAGTCTTGTGCATTCCATAATAGGGCTCGTGACGTGAAACGATGTTAAAAAAGCAATGACTATTCTATATAAATTCTATATTCTGAAGTAACTACTCGAGCTAATGGTCAGATCGAATTGCAGCACTACTGAATGGCTGTAACATACACTCTTTTAAAAGTCTCAAGTTTAGGTCTGTCTGTTGAAAAACATTTCGTGAATATTAATGTTCTCTATTAGTAAGGATTAATTAGAGAGATACTAACAGATCGGCTTCTAATTAATATCGACGTCGAATTCTTTTTTCCTCTCTTGTCTTCGTAATTAAAGTTATTAAAAATATAAAAGATGGCTTATCGAGAAAATGTGAAATCAATTAGTGTCCCTACCTTTGTTATCTGGCTGAAGGGAGCCCTCGCTTGTAACTACAGTCGCTGGCAGCGAAACGAGTAGTTAGCCTGCAAAAAAGTCATAACAACTTCGAATAAGAAATCGAACTTAATACTGACATATACATCAAACATGGATACGTTATATTAATACAAATAGAGAAATTATTTGGATGTTTTCTTCCATTTAATATTAACACCAAATAAACGGAGCGGAGACCTTTTTAGAAGTTGACTAGCTAAGCGACTGTAAGGGCCAAATAAACGGAGCGGAGACCTTTTTAAAAGTTGACTAGCTTGACTAGCTAAGCGACTGTAAGGGTCTCTAGAAGTACTCTACTTCATAGAGTAAATTAGTAAACTAATAAGAATTTTTAATCAGTAATATACGGTGGATTCCGGTTAATTGGGACACATCGGGATTAGAACACTTTGGGCCAATTAAGCGGCTGCCCCAATTAACCCTTGGCCCAATTAACCGGAGTCTATTGTATATGCTAGGGCTACCTGATGACGCGTTTTCAACTGCAAAATTTATTTAGTATCGAATGACACTCACAGATTATAGTAGATGGCGAATAAGTAAGGATTTGTAAGGATTCGAGAATGATCGGTGAATAAAATCTTACAACATTTTTTTGAATACCTACTGGTTTCCGCGAATTACTAAAACAGCTACAGTATTCGAAACGATAAAAGCGCTGTCTGCAACAGACATGCTATACAGTGTCCATTGTAGGACTAGGATTTCTTTCCGTTTCCAGGTAATTACTTGTCAAAATCCTGACACTCTTTAAAGGTATACTTTATGCGAAAACTGTCGGGTATTATTCCGAACCTACCCTTTGTTACCCCGACGCAATAACCATCGAACTTGGTAGAAAGTGTAAACACGCAGTTCACGGGAACTTTTCGTTAGCAGGAGAGAGCCAGGTCAACGGAGATCAATGTGAGTCACTTCTTAAGAAGTGCTGAAGAGAACGTGCTCCTGTGATAACAGTAAAACTTGCATTAAGATCGTTCTGTTCTCAAAGTGACGTCTCATATCTGAACAATGCATATAATTTTCTGAGACACATACTTTTTTTTTTGATTCAGTCTATATCCTTAGGGATTTCATATTTCTTTTATGTTATACTCTGTGTAATTTCATTGTTACTTCATCTCTAACGCTGGTTCTCGCTGGTTTGTAGCGTCTGTCTCAGTAGCAGACATTCATAACAGAAAACACTAGGACACAAAAAACTCTGACAACGTTGTATGAAACTGGTGTTTTGTTTTCATACTGTTACTGTATATCTCTGTTTAATATTATTTTTGCCTACGCATGTTTTAATGTCAATGTCCTCTGAAAGCCCGCACACAAAAACGTTTTACATCATATGAAGTATATCTCGTTGTATTCATAATTTTAATTTCAAAGAAATTTATGTGTGAAGTTTATAATTCTAGAGTAGCGTTTTAAGATTTATGATATTAAGGCGGTTGGATGGAGTAAGAACGATTTAAAGATGACGTTACATTTCAAATGGACTGATCTTTGTTCTGGAAGCCAAAATCGTCTTTCCTAAGTTGCTAGATTCTTCCTTATCTTCATTCTCTCCCTCTCTCTTCCGAACATTTATCAGGAAGATACAAATCTTCATCTTATACCACTTACTGAATCCAACTGAACTGCAATTCTAACTCTCTGATTCAGAATTTACCTTGGAGGTTGAAGTGATATAACAAACAAGACGTTCCTATTGACGGAGATAAGAACAAATCATACTTGCAATGTGACAGTCAGTTGTTTAACCCATATTGTTGTTATGGGACGACTTAGTTCGTGGCAGACGTTTCGAGATAATGCTCCTCAGAAAACGAAATTTCTCAGGGAGGGGCGGATAGTAATATAATTTCGCTCATATGTGTAAAGACATTGAGTATTTCTCATTTGCTCTGTCACGCGGAGTCACTTTCAGACTTTTGCTGATCTTAAATTTCTAGACGTGGATCTGCAGGATCAGATAGAATCAAAAGCACTAGCTTTCAGAAATATATCCTGTGTGGGATCCTCAATAAATTATAAGTGTATTGCATTGACAAGAGATAGTCAAATGCTCCTTAATCTTGACTTCACAATAGAAGCAGCCAAGAAGTATAACACTTACTTTTATGGAACTAATTCCATGCAGCGGAGGTCTACATATGAAACTGTTAGTCGCTGAGCTGGTAAAGGAATTAATTTTATTGGACCGACTGTTCGTTACCGTGTTCACAAGAGCCGTTTTGGGCCGTAATCCGAACCATTTTAATCCAGCCACAGCCTCACACTTAATTGCATTAAGATCATTTAACGTTGTCCACAATTAGGTATTCAAAGTGATATTTTCCTTTCAAAACTTTATGGTCATTTCTCGTTTCCCACATACGGGCTACATACCTTGCTCATCCCATCGTCTTTGTTTTGATCAGTTTAATTACTTGGGGAACAAACTAAGTAACTAAATTCTTCATTATATAACGCGGTATTGATGAGAAACCATTCTATCTGGAATTTGTATATATGATTTAGAGATCAACAGGAAATGTATACAAAATTATTCCAATTTCTTTTATTTTTTGCACTCTTTGTACTCGCGGACGCATTACCAAATCTTAGAATAGAGCTAGAGTCAGCGAGAAATTTAATACACTACATGTCACGAATGTATTATTCGTCTCCGAATTAACATTTGTCTTTATTTTCATTTTTTTTTAACTGTGGCTGAAATCTCACTTTGCCACGTAAGCTTTCAAACTGAAGTTTATTCTGTGGGTCAGAAAGTCACAATGTGCAATCAACTCTAGCTTCACCGAGCTTGATTTTTCTCAGCATGTGCAAACGAACTTAGGTCGATAGACGTGAGTTGTCAAACGAAGAAACATAACACGCACTCCTATAGTTAGCGTGCTTCAACGAAACTGCACGTGAAATCTAATTTCAAGTTTTAAATCAACTGAAACTCGCCTGCTTCGTAGCCCTTAAGGCTTGAAACGTTCTTCCCTGGTCAACAGAATTAAACAGATCCCATTTTAGTGCGAATGGTTTTGCGTAATGTAAGAGCTGTTATAATACTGAAATTTGTGACACAATTATAATAAACAGGGCAATGAAGCCGAGCGATTAGCACTGTTGCTTCATATTAGAAGTTCAAATCTCGTCCAGACGATTAGAAATCTTGACTAATATTTTTAGAGTTCTCCTCAATGCAAACTCGCCTTCTTCGTAGCCCTTAAGGCTTGAAACGTTCTTCCCTGGTCAACAGAATTAAACAGATCCCATTTTAGTGTGAATTGTTTTGCGTAATGTAAGAGCTGTTATAGTGCTGAAATTTGTGATACAATTATAATAAACAGGGCAATACAGCCGAGCGATTAGCACTCTTGCTTCATATTAGAAGTTCAAATCTCGTCCAGACAATCAGAAATCTTGACTAATATTTCTCCAGGCAAATGACGGTATATTATATTAAATTATCGCACTACCGCGTCATCCCAAATAATTTAAAATCCGTTATTAATTAAAGGTCCTATAATTCGATGCTATATATTATCAGTTACTGATAACGTCGCTAAATAAACCACGGTAATTTTTGAAAGGATAATAGGCTAGTGATTTTCCGCTTGCGTTGTTATGTTAAATTAGAATATTATTTTCTGTGTTGAAGTCCACAGTGAATTAGTTACCTTTGATCAGTGACTTATATCTAATTAGTATAAATTCGCGTATATTTTTTCAGGGAGTTCTCAGAATACACAGTGTGTAATATAATTTTCTGAATAGCAGCTTAATTGTTTCATGTTTTAACTACTTTATGTTCTTCCTAGCCAATAACCACTCCATATGATTAAAACAGAGAACCGTCTCATGTTAACGTCTTTACAATGCAACTGCATATATTGCGCATTTGTGTCTTCAGAGAGAACCGTCTCATGTTAACGTCTTTATAATGCAACTGCATATATTGTGCATTTGTGTCTTCACTCTAATGAAACTCATTGTAAATAAATCTTTTTACAATTCGATTTTAAAGTTGATGTTGAGGTAGAATAAAGCGAAACGAAATGTAAAATTATCTTATGTTGACGTTATCTTATTACCATTCATGCATGCTACATGCTTCGCTTGTATCTCCTTCCTCGAGTTGATCACCCTGAAGATGTTAGGTGAAGAGTATAAGCTAATGGTACTTGTACTGCTATGTTCTCCAACTTCTTATTACTTTTTCATATTTACGTTAAAGTGTTCTCTACAACATCTTGTTCTCAAACGCCCTCGGTCTATGTTATCACCCTAGTGTGAAAGAGAAAGTATCATACTCATACCAAACAGGACAAATTATAATTCTGTATAATTTAATATTTACATTTTTCTTTAGCAGTTGAAAATACAACAGACTCTGAACTTGATGGTAAGAATTATTAATTTAATTTAATTTAATTTAACCAGGTTTTATTGTTTTAATTTCATTCGTATTATTACTGTCTTCACATATTTGAACTTTGTTGCTTCTACAAAGGAGTTATTAATTATGTTCTTATGAAGGTTTCTCCTGTATTCTGATGAAAGGACATGAATAGAGACTTAATGAAACGTTAAAGTGAGAGTGTACTGTGTACTTACTGGGCGATCAGTTTTAAGTGTAAGGACTTGGGGGGGTAAATTGAAAAAAGCTGATAAGCAATTGAGTCAACACGTAATTTATGCACGTTCGAAACTTCGATTTATTTATTACAATTTAGACTGATACTGTTTTATCAGTTCGATCAGTGCATGCGATAGTTCCGTAGAACTAAGAACATGGTCTTCTACGTGATTGGGTGAGAAAAGCAAAGTCCAGGAGAGCATTTACATAAACACTGAAATAACAATAAGAATGTGGTTACTTCTAGAAATCGTTTTTGTGACCCCTAACGGTCGATTCACACGAACGACACGACACGACACGTCAGCGTGTAGTCAACACGACAAAATATTCCCCCCCTTTTTTAAAATAAACGTAATAACATTTTTCTTGAAGATTTTCCTTATTGCCAGTCGTCAA